CAGAACAACCATGGTCTTCTGTTTCTATGGATTTCATCACAAATCTTCTAAGTTCAAGATCTTATGATTCTATATTTGTGATAGTAGATCGTTTCACCAAGATGGCACATTTTATGCCATGTACAAAATCTATCACAGGTGAAGAAACAGCTAAGCTTTTCATTGATAATATCTATCGCTATCATGGATTACCTAAAGATATCATATCGGATAGGGGAACTCAATTTGTGTCAAGATTCTGGAGGACCCTTTTCAAGATTTTAAAAATGGACATAAAGCTATCTTCGGCTTTCCATCCTCAAACTGATGGACAAACAGAGCACGTAAACCAAGTCTTGGAGCAATATTTAAGGTGTACTATCAACTATCAACAAGATGATTGGACAACCTTTCTGCCATTGGCAGAATTTGCTTATAATAATACGGTACATTCTTCCACGGAACAAACACCTTTCTTTGCCAATTATGGCTATCATCCACGACTTGATACTTTTGATTTTTCAAAAGTTGATAATCCTGCAGCAGAAGATATGGCAAATCGGTTGTCAGAGTTACATGCAATAATGAAGACACAATTGAAGGAAGCTCAAGAACGACAAAAGATAAACGCAGATCTATATCGTAAGGAGTAACCACAATTCAACGTGGGTGATAAGGTATGGCTACTTTGTCGCAATATCAAGACTACTCGACCTTGTGACAAGTTGGACTATCGTAGGCTTGGCCCCTTTTCTATTTCTGAACAGATCAACCCAGTTGCATATCGGTTACATCTACCGGAGTCAATGAAGATCCATCTTGTATTCCACGTGTCTCTTCTTGAACCATATAAGACAATGGATATACAAGGAAGAAGACAAATGCCACCACCTCCTACAGAAGTAGATAATAATGAAGAATTTGAAGTGGAAGAGATATTAGACTCAAGGCGGCGCCGAAATAAGCTGGAATATTTTGTTCATTGGTGCGGATATGATATTAGTGAACGCACATGGGAGCCATCCAGGAATCTAACAAATGCATCAGCTAAAGTCAAAGTTTTTCATCAACGACATCCATCAAAACTAAGATGAAAATCTCTCTTATAAAAGAGACAAGATTGAGGCAAGATAACATTCAATTTCCTATCCTTGTTTGTAACTTCTTTGCATTTGTGACGCTAATTAGATGGAGAGCTAACAACCAGCGGATTCAACTCAAGAACCTTCGTTTGCTGACCTGCTGGACGAGATATTACGATTGTCACAACCTTCAAGACGACGCAATCGAGATGAAGATCTTCAAGAACGACATGTTCTTCCTCGAATAGATGGTGAGATACAACGTGTTTGGTATCACGATTTGGGAAGGGACTCCCGATGTTTGGTGATTTTGCTAGAGGTAGGAACAACTCCTGATGGTGTTCCAAATATTCTATTCGAAGGAAGTTACGAAGGCCTCAACAATGATCAAATAATTGGGTGGTCTTCCCGCCCTGGTATGGGACACTACCGATGGTTGAGAGGCCCTATCAATCATCTTCGAAGAGAACAGAGATCAGAGTATGTGGCGAATACAATTCGTCGCATCATAGATTTCCTCAACATATGATGACCGCTCCTCGTGGAACTCGTCTCTAGAAGGGGGGGTAATGTCACGGCCATAATCATGTAAGCTAATAATTACATATAGAAATAGGTAGAAGTAAGTAAAAGTAGAAAAAATAAGTTAATTCTATAATATTTAATATGGAAGTTTTCTAGAAACTTCCTAGACGCTGCTTTGACTTCATAGGTGTCTTTAATTGACTTTTTGGATTAGAAACGTGGTCAACAAGTTGGTCATGTGCCACACATGTTGTTAGCTTGAAGATCAAGCTAACTATGTGGCCCACACGTAGAAAAACTTGCCTTGTAAGTCAAGGCATGTGTCCTACAAAGTCAACACATATTGGAGGTCCTATAGAACGTCACCACGTAGCCCCTAGTTAGATAGTATATATAGAGACAAGAGTGAAGGCTTCTTCACTCTTGTCAACTCCTTTTTTGCTCCTAGTCCAGGTTCAAGAGTCTTTAGTTTCTTGTCTTGTGGCAATAGCCATTCCAGTTTCCTTTAAATATACATACTTGTTTATATTTTGACTTATTATATCGAGATAGCCTTTTTGTGTATATTTTCCCTCATCGAGTCTTTGTCCTTGACATATATGTAACTTATTATTACAAAATAATAAAATTAATTAATTACAAATTTAGTAGTTTCTTTTTTGGCTATATATAAATTTATAATATGTAATAGATGTATATATTGGATGTCGAATGTATGACATATTTAAATTGTGTTATAAAAAACTTATTGCCATCTCTTCTTATACAATATTAATTAAAACACTTTTTACATTTAATATATATTAATCCTTCTTGTATTTATTTGAATATTTTTTATAAATTATAATAATTATTAATATTTTATTCTTTGATGTCTTTTTTCTTATTGTATAAATGAAAAACTTCATTTAATTAAAAAATAGATTGAGAAATTTATTCAAATATTGAATTTTTTACTATATTTTATTAACTGATCTTTGTATGTTGCAATATTCCAAAATAATTGGTATTTACAACCTAAATAGTATTATTATTTTGATTGATTTATTGAATTTTATATTTATTGATAAAATTTTCAATTTATAAATTTATAAAAATATTTGAGATAATTTATAATAAGTCCATTTCAAAAATGTATATAAATACAAGTATAATTATATTTAAATCTAACTTAATTATCAATTATACATCACATCTAGCTAAATCTTGTATTTAAATTATGTGTATTTTTTCTTTTACAAACCCTATGCAAAAGTAGCACCTTCAATGATATTTATGTTTTTGTACAAGAAATATATATACCTATATATATATATATATATCAATTTTTCACAATTATACATATTCTAATTACAATCATTTTCAATCATGTGCAAGAGGTATATAGATTCTCATAACCAACCAACTAGGATTTGATCGCCACCTACAAATCTTCAAAACACGATTTGAAGGCCACCTGTAAACACAAAATAAATGACCGATTAAAGCCGTCAATAAACATGCACCTAGCATAAGATCTTGTTTCCAAACAGATTTTCCATCTAATGATTTCTTTCAGTAACTTCTTTATCATTTTAAATACTTCTTCACCAGACGAATGCTGTCCCAACGTTGCAGGTTGAGAAATGGCACTCTAATCCACAGAATCAAATCAAAAGAAGACTTAGCCTCTACGAATGGCAACATCAGTTGCACTTGAGTCGGTAAGTGATCGGTACCGACCCGGAATGGCATTGGATGTCACGCCAAGAAATCTACGTCGAAGGTGTAATCCGCCTAATTGACATCTAACGTTGGTTAAATCTGCTGATTCTCCGAAACAAACAAAAAAGGAAAAAAACAAAAAACAAAAAAAACACAGCAAAAATGGTGGAATGTGAATTAGGTTTAAGAAACTTAAGCAGATGATGGAAAGTTGAGACGAAGGAGATGATCGATCAAGGGAGGGTGAAGTTGCCGACCACTGTTCTGATCATGGACTCAGTTGTTGGAATGTGAACGGCACTTCGGATGATGCTTGAAGTTCGAGATTGTCCAGATTGTCTGGATTTCTTTCAAGGAGATCATCTTTTGACACCTCCTTGACTGCCTTTGCTGATGCCCAACATTCAGGAGAGGATCATCTACAATCGTCAGACCAATTTGCGTGACCATTTGACGTTCGTTTGTCACATTGCACTCAAATCGACCACGATGGAGATTCAGCAGTTGTGAAAATCTTTGACAAACCCTCTCTCGGAGCATAACCTAGTGCAGCTGAGATATGCTCAAATTTCGAAGCTCGCAGATCGTGAAAGGAGGTGCGTAATTTGAGATAGGCCGAGGTGGACCTAACAAGGGAACAGTCCACATTGCTTGATTACCAACAACATATCGAGAAAGCAAGGATATCTCGAATGAACAAAAAGTTAACCCTAACCAAATCCAGCGCAACCCACAAACCGTAATGGTTAAATAAAACTTCGCATCATGCGGAACACCGGCGTACCCACACAGCGGACGCTTTCGAGCCTTGAAGACGAGGTAGAGATTGGCAGAAAGGCGGAGACCAACATAGATCCGCATCAAACTTGCGAAGCGTCTAACGTAAAGTGCAATGGGAAGCATATCTGCCTGCGTGTAGCAGATAAGGGAAGAATCGGAAGCTCATTTATCTCGGCCTATGACGATGAGAGCTTTGATTGTGTGCTTGCGAACGTCGTGACAACTACTGAGATCCACTGGCTGTTGATCGCCACAGATTCCCTTGTCCCCTTTGGCATTGCTCACGGCCCTCCTTGGTCATCGCAGATGCTTTCACAAGCGATGTACGCGGCGCAATCAGCTCAGGTTAACATATACATCAGTTGGATGGTTTCCAGTCTGTGCAAAGATGCCGCTGGTCCCACTGGTCTACACATTGACCGAGTAAAAACTTCATTTTTGGGTTTACTCTTCGATGAAGAACAATCAATGCTCGTCAGCTGAAAGAAATTTGTGCTTCGACGAGAGGACGTATCTGGCAGTCAGTGACAATCAGGCGAAGTAAATGTCCACACTTCCAATTCAATATTGAAATCTGAAACAGCAACTCTGCAACACCAACTATTTTGAGGCTATTTGTGCAATTAAGTCGAGGTTGATTGTTAAAAGCTTATAATCATCGCCAGTGATAACTTAATATCTTATCGTTCTGTGGTGCGTTGGCAATCACACTGTCTGGAAAAATGTGAGTAATTCGCTTCTGTGACCCCTGCTTAGACTGCTGATTTTTTCTTAAATTCTCACCGTTACTGCTCGTACATCACATCCCCGAGTTCTTTTTCTTTTTCTTCCCCGATTTGAGCCTTTGTAGAGATGCTCGCACAAACCCACTTTCTAGCAAATTCTTTAGATCAACAGTTGCGCTGCTTTCATTATGATTTGCTGAGACGCTGAAGGATTGCACCGTGCAAGACAAATTCGTTGAGGAACAAACGGAGTGAAATGGTCCATGTCGTCCAGGAAATACCCTAATTTGTCTTGCTCCCTGGTCGATGCCTAAACATACATGTGGCTGGGACAAAACGGCTTGAGTGACACATGGTGGCGTTGGCGTAAAGGAATCAATCGTCTTAATTTAGGAGGAAGGATATGGTGGGCCGACCAGCTACAGTTGGCAATCCTTCTTTGACATTGTTTTCTTGGTCCTCGCGACTGATCATCTGCTCCAAACCACAATTTGCGTCCCACACTTGCAAGGTGAGAGGTGGGACGGGGGGACTGCCCGTCGCCGTAGTGCAGTCAACCCTCGATGTAAGCACGATCTCGTGTGCCTGTAGCTCAATGCTTCATTCTACTGTCAATACTGTGTTTCATTGTCTCTTGTCGCCGATTCCCTGTAGTGGGTTTCCGGCTGTTCCTGCCATCTTGTAGAATTCTCCATCTCTCCTCTTCCTGTTCTTCGATCTCTGCTCTGTGCGTCTCAAGTTTTGGCCTGCTAACGAATACTCGAGAATAGGGCTTTGTGTTTTGTACATATATTTCTGCACAGTTTGTAAAAAGGCTAGACGTATTAATCTTGATTCTTTTAAGTGGAAAAGTTGGCAGGCGAACATAGACAGGGGGCATTGGCGCATCGGTTGTCTTTCGTGACCACACCCTTATGTGGATCAACCATTTTCTTCCGATGCTACTCGTCTCTGTGCAGAGTTTGTAGTATGTCTTTTCTTTGCAGGAAACACCGTTTGAAGGAGACACAGACTGGCTTGAAGGTGCCAGGTCCCAGCGAGATCGTGATGGCAGAATCGGCGCAACGATTTGCAAAGGCGAGCGTAAGTAAACGCACACAAGTAGACGCAAGGTTAGCATTAGATCCGGCTCTTCTTTCTTTGCCATTCTCCTCTTCTACACGCATTCAAAGGATGATAAAGCGTAGAGGTGAATTCGCCAGCCAATATGAGTATGAGATTGAATCCTCCAAGGACCATTGGAGCGAGCTGGAATCGAAATTTGATTTGAATCAACCTGCCCTTGCGGACGTCAAAGTTCCCGATGTTGTTGAGAAGCAACGTTCCAGGAGATTTGGTCACTTTCGAAGAAAGCTTGGTGAATTGTTCTCGCACTTGCGGCTTGGTAGATTATTCTCATGTAATTTTCAGTGTATGCAGTGTGCAAACTGTGTATCTGTAGAGGATCATCAGCACCACGTCAATCACCTACAGTCTTTAGAATCCTTAGAGCTTGAGGACGCTTCAGACTCCGAAATCGAAGAGACTAACCGGGAAATTCTTGAGAGGATCAAGAAGCAGTGGGGCGGGTTCTTCTCGGAGAAATGGGGTGATAACCTAGTGCTCGGTCCCAAAATTGCAGAGGGAGGGCAGGCAGAGATCTTTGAAGTGGAAGGCGGCGTGGACGTCATTCGAATGGAATTTGTGGTGAAAGCCTTCAAAAAGGGCTATTCTCTGCGATCTCTGGAAACACAATGGCCGCACGGAATGCTTCAGAGCACCCCTGAAGGCCACTTGAGTCTCGTCAATTCCTCCATCATCTTCGCCGGAACGGTCGTGGAGGACGACAGGTTCGCATTTGTGATGTACAAATATTGGGGCGACCTGCGCAAGCTGATTGATATCAAAATGGAGCAGCGAAGCAACCAGGGGCCTCCTTTTCAAGAATGGCAGGCCATATCTATCATGCTGCAGATAGCGAATGGGATGGAGCAGCTGCACAGGAAGGGGATCCTCCACAAGGACCTAAAGACGTCCAATGTACTCATCAAATTGGATGTGAAGAAGCGGAACCCTCCCGATCCAAGGCATGCTTCGGAATTCTCTTGTGTTGTTGCGGATTACGAATGCTCCGTCGGTGTCATGGGGACAGGCTTCTGGAGGGCGCCCGAGGTTTTGGTCGCAGTAATGGACGGTAACCTCGACCCAAGCGTGTTCACAGAAGAGGTAGATGTGTACAGCTTCGCCATGACGTGCTATGAAATCCTTACAGGATGCATACCTTTCGAAGACTTACATGACAGCTATTACGATGCTGTTCTGAATGGCCGGAGACCGGAGCTGCCGCATCCAATGAATTCTCGATTAACGGAATTGTTGTGCAGATGCTGGCACTCTAATCCTTTAGAGCGGCCTTCCTTCGAAGAAATTAGGATTGCACTAGAAACCATACAGCGAAGCTGCATTGTAATCTCAGAAACTCCCTCTCCTAATGCAAGTCACAGATCGAGTTAAGAACATGTTTTCGGAAGAGCCCAAATTAGCTTAGGTTGTATTTTTGCAAGCTGTGTGTTACCCACCAAATTCACAACGATCTGAAGCGCGGTAAGAGAAGAGCTAACGAGAAGCAGAAGAAGAAGAAGAAGCTTTCTCCATAGTTACCATTTGCGAGCAATTGCCACCAGCCTGTGCAAAATCGCGAACTTCACCCTGTGGTGACGAATTGGACGAGAGTTTCCAACCTAAAACCGGCTCGCATGTTTGGGTTCACAAGCTCCAAGTCTCTCATTTTCTCCAATCCTTCTGAGTGCGTGGTTATCCTTCCCCCATTTCTGCGAAACTTATCCTCACGCGCATGCTTTTTCCCCTGTCGTTAGGCTGCCTTTCCAAACGAGAGCATCACAAACAATGACGCCGGAAAACGCCAAAATGGTACCAGAAAAGCGATCAGCAAATTTGTAGATTGTGGTGCCAGTTTTTGTCGAAGTCCGCAAACAACTTGTCACGTTTCGATCGCGAGGATCCTCGTTACTCTCAACGAAAGCCGCTCCGGCTAAGCCCTAATTTCTAAACCCTTCGTATAGGAAGGGTGATTTATATTGATTTTTATATATATACATATATATATAACCAAGTATGATATGGATACATATAGTCGTTTTTGCAACATATTGAAACATATTACAATATCAGAATTTAGGGTAAATTTTTTGTATGATTATTATTTTTTTTAAATGTCTTCAAAAAAAGTTATTCTTTTCAAAATTAGGATAAAAGTGATGTCACATGTTTCCTTTGTGACAAGCTTTTCCTCTTTATATGATTTTTAACCACTTGTATCTTAATTTATATTTAGTATATATTTTTAAATATATATATATATAGTAAATACTTTAGCATATATTTTAGGTGTTTTTTAGGAGCACATGCAAATAACACTGACAAAATTAGTCTAGAATTTTAAAGATTATGTTATGGATTAAAGAAGAAAATGAAGCCTTTTATTTATTTTTATTTTTTTAATCTATTATAAAAACATTAAAATTTTAAATTCCAAGCAAGGAAATTAACAAAGTCTAATAGAATAGGACTTTAAAACACATTATTTAAAAATATATATATATATATATATATATATATATCAAAGACAAAAATAGCTTCATGTTGGTTGTCAAATGTAGTTTGTAAAACAAAAGACACATCTCTACCTATGATTGTGTATAGATGGGAGTATTATATGATAATATTGCCTTATAATCATATCTTTTGCCTGACAATGTTCATGGGATAATATAAATATGATAGAAATTATTAAAAACCAAGATAAAAGATAAATATAAGGTTTTGATGCAAACAATGCAATTTAAAGCAATGGAATCTAAATAATTAAGTATCTAAGCAAGACTTACATTCTACCTACTACAAATACCAAAGTTGGATTATTATATAATTTATAAGAATGAAAAAAATACAAAAATATAAAATATAAGAAGATTTGTAGATCCAAATTTATTATAAGTATGCATATTATTTATAGATATGACAAGTCATATTTTAATAATGTAAATAAGATTAGAAATAATGTTTCTTTTTTCATGTAGAATTGGCTACATTATTATTGCCTTTTGTACTTAAGTATTCAAAACTTCTATTTAAAACTATTAACAAATTACTCACTCAAACAAGCTACTATAATGATAATAAAAAATAAATAAAAAAATATTAGAAAATAAATGTAATTTCTAAAATAATTTTAAAAATAAGTGTTTATATTAAAAAAATAAAATATAGAAATTATAAAAAAAAAATGCTTAAATGAGTAGCAATAAAAAAAAATGCCTTATTTCTTTCTTTTCTTTTCTTTTCTTTCTTTTTTTTTCCTTCTTTAAAAAAATATTTTAGTCATAATTGCAAAATTTGATTTGGAACTAGTAATTTATGATATGTCTCTTTTGTAAATAGAGAAGAAAACAATGTACCAAAGTTGGCTAGAAACAACAAAGAAGTCAAGATTGGAATAGATCATAGTAGTGTCTAGAATTATGAAACATAACTCATAGCATTAAGGAACTCAACAACCTCAAGCAACCTTCTTTTAGACTAGTGATTGATAGAAACAAAGGATAAAAAATAGATCTTAAGATGTCTTATATGATAGTTATATAAAAATTGCAAGGAGAATAATTAATAGAGCTTTAGGATTCTAGACACCTTAATTAAAAATAATAACAATGTACATACTTTCTTAAGATTAAAAGAATATAAGGCATAAATGATGCCAGAAGAAGAGATTTAATAAATTTTTGTCATTGGTATCTCTACCTGTAAGAATTGTGAGACTATACTTGAGATAATTAAAACTGCATCTATTAAATTTTTAATGTAAAACAAAAATTAAAGGATCAAGCTACAATCACACCCCAAGTTACTATATGCACACCCATTATGCCTATACACACACCCAAAACTTCTGATTGGTTCATCCAGATTCCTTTACTCTTGTCCCAGAGTGAGTACCCACACAAGGGCGTGAATTGCTGCACTGCTGGGATTGGCGATTGCTTGTCAGTATAAATGCGGCGTGAACTTCTGCACCCACCCATCACACGATAGAGCAAAACACGAGCCTGGCAGGCGGGATCAGCACTGGGCCGTCATGAAGTGTGAGTTGCGTGTGAGCTCTCCTGGGTATCTTTTCAAGCTCAGTGTCATGTCTTCAATTTCTGCGATTGCTTCGTCCCGGTCTCCGACCTCGTAGATCTTGTAAAAACAGTATGTTTCCATGAAGCTCACGAGACTGCCGAAGTTGCAGTCCTCTACCCAGCCAGTGGATTAGGTCATCATCCAGCACATTGGTAAACATAAGCTTTTTCAGGTCAAGCACAACTGAGGAAGCTCTGAGAAAAAGTTTATAAACAACATGTTCTGAGGGGAGAGGCAGCTTCTTGGTGGATCCCAATTGAAGAACGCCTTCCTGCACTGCCACACTGCGATGGTTGGGATTCCAGACTTGAACTGCGCTTCCCATGGGCGTGGGTGCTGCACGCATCAAGTCCTTAAGACTCAGTCAACAAGAACACACCCGAGACGAGTACCCTGTAGGGGAGCATGCCAGATAACATGCACATTTTGCACAGGCATTTTGCGGCGACATAGCCACGTCAGGCGTGGTGTTAATAGTAGAAGACCTCTTCACAGGCTGCCATTGCATCACGATTACAGTAAGCGTTTCGAACCTTTGATAAGGAAGAGGAGGCGACGCTCGACCCACTCTTGCGTAGTCTGCCAGTGCTAAGTCACCGTTGGTTTGCGTTATCTGTGTTCACTCCCACAAAACACTTGCCTGATTACGCCAGCATGTATGACATCGCATCATGCTGAATAATGATCTGAGATCACGATGTTCCAAATTACGCTCCCTCTGCAAGTCCAGTGTACCAGAATACAAGAATGGAACCCGGTGATAAACTGCAGATGTTTGCATGTGCGATTTTGTGAACAAAATTCTGTTCCCATGAAAAATTCGAACTCTCGCAGAAGTGATAAGAATTGCTCACAATAGACCGCGGTCCGAAAACAAGCAGGGTTACGAATTTTGCCCCCACTCAATTGATGTATACACAACGGGGAGATCAACGAATTGGACGAAGAGGTAAAGAAAAAGAGGGCGATACCAGACTGTAGTACCGGGATGCAGCCTCACTGGGGAAACTAAGAAGAGAAGGGGGCCGGGACCCACGTAGGAAGGATTTAGATGAGCCAATCAGAAGTTTTGGGTGAGTGTATAGACATAATGGGTGTGAGTATAACAATTTGGGGTGTGCTTGTAGCTTGAGCCAAAATTAAATCATCTAATCTAAAAGGGTTTAATAATCTAAAGAAATTCCACTACTTACAAAGCTATACATGATTTTAAAAATCTTCTTGTGATATATTGTTTTTTATAGAACAAAAGCTCAATTAGATCAATGCAAGGAATTTGAATCACATGTTATAAAAGAATGCAATATAATATCTTCAAAAGTAGTTTCTTAGTATAGTTATTTACATGATGGAGCTATTAAATAAGAAATATGTATTCTAGTTAGTTCGTCTTCAATATTTGGTTATTTGGTTTTTTTTTGTGGCTCCTTCTTCTATAATTAAATATCATGGATTATAGTTAATAATTCTTTTGTAAAGTTTTGAGGATAAAACATATGTAGGAAAAAAATGGATCAAATAAAAAAATAAAATAATAGATAATTTTGAATTTATTAATGCAAAATATAATAGAAAAATATTAAACAAAGATAAAAATATAATTGATTGGATGGACAATAAAACCTCCAACTATATTAGAAAAAATTCATATATAATATAGAATCTATACAAAGGTCTTTAGAATTTTTTGTTCGTCATAGAGTATTATTTCGTTTACCAATGATGAATAGCTTTTTTTGGATAATAGAAAAATATTGTTTATAGATTTTAGTAAGATTTTTTTTTTTAATAATTTTTTTTATTTATAAAAAAAAATTTGATAAAGACCTATAGTAGTATATTGTAAATTATTTAAAGTACTAAATATTTAAAACATTAACACTATAGTAATCTATCATTATTTATAATAATTTTTTACTCTAGTCTTAATGACAAAACTGATATACCAAATTTTATTTACAAAATCTCTATCAAATTGTATCAAAATTTAATTTTATTATTTATATATTTATTTATGTATGCCAATAGTTTAAAATTTTAGACGAGAGTTTAGAAATTGTGAAAAAAAATTTGAAAAAGACATAAAATATGAATATTAAAAATATTTTTTTCTCTTGAAAAATCCTTCAAATTTGAATAAAAATTTGAAAATTATTACACTAATTTTATTTTAAGAGAAGAAATGGATATTATATTATGTAGACAAGTAATTGTATTATAGTTTAATCATTTTTAAAATCTTCAATCTATAAAAGTACAATCATGACTAGATATAATATTTTGAACATAAATAGATACCTTTGGAACTTTATTATTA